AAAAAAAAAACAAAAAAAATGGTGTACACAAGCACTAAGGGACTGATTCCCCAGTACAAAATATGGGTCGAAGATCTACACAGGAATATTGTAAGCAAAGAGACTAAATAGTTTGCTTTTCTTTCTCTCATATTTCAAATATAGGCATAACTATATATATATATACATATATATATTTACACCTATAATGAATGCAGATAATGATTTATCAAAATATATAATCAGAGAGGTTATCATCCTACCCAAGAGTGAAAAAAAAATGAATAATAATGTATTCACATGTTTCCCAGAGATATGATCCCTCCTCATCGTTCAGTTTTATGTCTCTTTCTTACATCCACTTCTTTTCTTTTTTTCTCTCCTGACCCCTTACATGCAGTTGAGCCGTATAATCAATTCATTTACAAATTTATTGTAATCAATCTTCTGCTCTGTATCATCTTGTTCAGCAATGGACAAGAGTTCTTCTAGTTCCTCCGGTGATGATCGTTCACCAAGTGTGGCGAACATCTCCGTGAATTGCTTTCGTGTGACAAATCCAGTCTTCTGTTTATCGTAGTTAAGAAAAGCACTACGGAGTTCTTCTGCCATGGTATCATTCACTTCACATGTCATTAAAAGCAAAAAATCCGTAAAGTTAAACTCATCTGCGTTTTGATTATCACCCTGTCCAATTACCCGCATTACTTCAGCGAATTCTTCTTCGGTCATGTGTAATCCAACATTTTGCATAAGTGCAAACATATCTTTTTTTGCAATAGAAACTGTTTTTTGACCGCTACTCAATATGCGGTAACCTTCTGCCAACTCAGCAATAGTATTGTGCGATATGGGTTTGCGGTAAATGGGGCAAGTGATCCCTCGGACGTCGTGAGCGACTGCCTTCACTGACTCTAGTTGCTTGCGGTCTCCAGGGCCATTAACCCCCGCCTTTGCAGAATCGGAAGTTTTCATACAATATGTATGCAAATATTATATAATATATATTTATATATACAACTATGCACGAATATGAAAGAGTGTGTGTATTCGTGTGCTTTACTTTTTCCTCTTCCTATTGATACCCAGAAAAAAAAAGAAAAAGAACACTCCACCTTACCTATGAAAACGAAGACAGTTGTGGATGTGCGGAAAATACAAAAAAAAACCCTACAAAGAAAAAAAAAAGTGAGAAAAGAGAAAACCCGAAGAGAACTTATGACATATATATATACTACCAGGAAACACTTACTCATCAAATGAACACATGAGAAACAACACACCATAACGTGTAAAAACACAGACATACGCACACACATAAAGAAAAAAAAAGAGAAACAGAGATAAATATAAGGGTACCGAACCTGCAGACACAAAAGATTTACATTGACACACACAAGCATTAGTAATAACATACATGGATATCAGGCAAATAAAATGCAAAGAAATTAAAAGAAGAGGGGAGGGGAATATGTGTCTGTAACTTCATCCCATAGGTCTCAACAGCCCAAACCCCCTCACTTCAAAAACCAGAAAAAAAAAAAAAACCTTTCTGCTCATTTCCTTCATTTTCTTCTCCCTCACTCTTCATTTCCCAATACATTTCTTTATGTTTTCCTTCTGCTATTTCTTTTAACTTGTGGTGCTATCCACGCTCCTTCCCACGTTCCTTTTTTTTTTTTTTCATATAGGGGCCAAAGGTTATGTGCCAAACCTCCCTTTTCATCTCATGTAGCCCTCTACAAAAACTCTACTTCATCAAAACTCCTACATGATTCCTCTAAAATCGTAGAAATAACCGCAAAAATAAATAAAACAAAAGTAGAAAAACAGAAAAAAAAAAAAAGAAGTAAACAAAAAAAATGCACGTGCACAGAATGTATGTAGTACTCACTCGAACACAGTATGATACTGAGGGTGCGGCTTTAGTTGCCACTCTACCCCATCAGTTCCACCTTTCGTTCTATTTGCTCATCATCATCTTGACGAACTCCTCGTAGTTGATCTGGCCATCACCGTCCACGTCGGCCTCGCGGATCATCTCGTCCACCTCCTCGTCTGTCAGCTTCTCGCCGAGGTTCGTCATCACGTGGCGCAGCTCAGCAGCGGAGATAAAGCCGTTGCCGTCCTTGTCGAACACACGGAACGCCTCCTTGATCTCCTCCTCGGAGTCGGAGTCCTGCATCTTGCGGGCCATGAGTGTGAGGAACTCGGGGAAGTCAATGGTGCCGCTGCCGTCCTGGTCCACCTCGTTGATCATATCCTGCAGCTCCGCCTCTGTTGGGTTCTGGCCGAGTGAGCGCATCACTGTGCCGAGTTCCTTGGTGGTGATGGTGCCATCGCCGTCCTTGTCGAATAGGGAGAAGGCCTCCTTAAATTCAGAGATCTGCTCGTTTGAGAGTTGGTCTGCCATTTGTATTGCTTTTAGTAGGAGGTTAGTTTGTAAGGTTTCGGTTTTGGTTGGTCTTGCTGTTGATTACGAGATAATGATGACACGTGAGTGTTCTATCTTGTTTTTTTGAAGATTCACTTGGTGTTATTGGTTGTATTCACTGGTATTTCTCAAAGACAACTGGTAGCACTTCTGTAGATAGGGCAAGAATAGAAGAAAAATTATAGGTTTGCAGAAACAAATACATATACGTGCAACTAGAGGTAATTCAATTTGTCAGGAAACCAGAAGAAAAAAAAAAAAAAACCAGATATTTTACCTATCCTTTTCTTTACTTAAATTCTATTCATTTTCCCCTTTTCATCACAGGTATATTTCGCTCTCTATTGCCGACGCCTGTATTTCCCGTCCAATCAATACAGCCATTATAAACAGTCTGCAGATGCAACGAACAGAAAAAAAAAAAACGAAACGCAGTACGAGAGTAATAACCCAAGACAAAATAAAAAAAAGCATAGCTGTCTACATACATCTTATACATTCGCACGACTGAGATACAAATATTGCCTCAATAGTAGTACCAGGAAGTAGCATAATACACCACTACCCCATCAGTTCCACCTTTCGTTCTATTTGCTCATCATCATCTTGACGAACTCCTCGTAGTTGATCTGGCCATCACCGTCCACGTCGGCCTCACGGATCATCTCGTCCACCTCCTCGTCTGTCAGCTTCTCGCCGAGGTTCGTCATCACGTGGCGCAGCTCAGCAGCGGAGATAAAGCCGTTGCCGTCCTTGTCGAACACACGGAACGCCTCCTTGATCTCCTCCTCGGAGTCGGAGTCCTGCATCTTGCGGGCCATGAGTGTGAGGAACTCGGGGAAGTCAATGGTGCCGCTGCCGTCCTGGTCCACCTCGTTGATCATATCCTGCAGCTCCGCCTCTGTTGGGTTCTGGCCGAGTGAGCGCATCACTGTACCGAGTTCCTTGGTGGTGATGGTGCCATCGCCGTCCTTGTCGAATAGGGAGAAGGCCTCCTTAAATTCAGAGATCTGCTCGTTTGAGAGTTGGTCTGCCATTTGTATTGCTTTTAGTAGGAGGTTGGTTTGTAAGGTGTCTGATGCTCCGAAGAGATAGCTAAAACTAGTTGAGTACGTGTTTTCACATAATTTCAGTTTTGAAATGATAACAACATGGATAAAAATACGAAAAAGAAGAGAGAAAGATATGTCATACATGAAAAGAAGAAACAAAACAAAACAAAAAAAAAAACGATTTTTCAACATAATTATCGCATATTCACACATGCATATTTAAAGAGAGAGAGCAAAAGAGATAAAAAAAAAAAAAGAGGTTTGGCAGACATTTCACACACCCCAAAAGAGGGATGTGATAATGATGATGAAGAAACAGGGTAGAAAAGAGGTCGGACTTTAGGTGGAGAGAGAGAGAGACAGAGCCCAAGAGAGATAATCAAAAATTTCTCAAATTTGCATATTTTTTTTTTTTCCTTCTCTCCTCTTATTATTGTTGTTTTCAGCAATTGTACTACGTACATCAACTTTCCCACTATTTCCAGTCACGCACAGATCTGCCATGCAGATTATTCTTCATTGCAATTAAATTCACCCTTTTCGTCCTTTACTTTTTTATTTTTATTTTTTTCTGGTGGGTCCGTTATCGCTGTCTCTCAAAGCCATATCATCAAAATGGAATCGATGCAGTACATATTTGTGTTGAGCATTCACTGATACCGAAAGAGGAAATCAAAGAAATAATTTAAAAAAACAAAAACAAAAAAAAGAAGCATACACACCAAGAGAAAACAGGAATAACGATGGATGAAATTAAAAGCCCTTGTGTGTTGTCCCCATTGCTACAGCACACATCACTTCTGTAGTCATATACAGAGGATTTGTTTTAGTGATTGGTTTACTTTTCGCTTTTTTTTTTTTTTTTTTGGTCTTCCTTTTTCTAATTTTTCCATTTCTTATCCCTTTAGCCGGTGTGTATTTGGTTTTTTTTCTTTATTTTTTCGTCCGTTTACTCCCACTTTCATACTCTTTCCTCACTTTACCATGGGATCATCATTTTGCTTGCACCTCTACTATCGTTCTTTTTCATCTTTTTTCTTTTTCTTCATAATACATCTTCATAATAAATATACGAATTTTCTATATATATAAATATATATAGTTTTTTTTTCCCGAAATTACACTATTTTTTTTCCCCCTCATCCTCTCTTTTTTTTTTCATTTTTCTTCCTTCCCTAACACTGTGTGATACTGAGGGTGCGGCTTTAGTTGCCACTCTACCCCATCAGTTCCATCTTTCGTTCTATTTGCTCATCATCATCTTGACGAACTCCTCGTAGTTGATCTGGCCATCACCGTCCACGTCGGCCTCGCGGATCATCTCGTCCACCTCCTCGTCTGTCAGCTTCTCGCCGAGGTTCGTCATCACGTGGCGCAGCTCAGCAGCGGAGATAAAGCCGTTGCCGTCCTTGTCGAACACACGGAACGCCTCCTTGATCTCCTCCTCGGAGTCGGAGTCCTGCATCTTGCGGGCCATGAGTGTGAGGAACTCGGGGAAGTCAATGGTGCCGCTGCCGTCCTGGTCCACCTCGTTGATCATATCCTGCAGCTCCGCCTCTGTTGGGTTCTGGCCGAGTGAGCGCATCACTGTACCGAGTTCCTTGGTGGTGATGGTGCCATCGCCGTCCTTGTCGAATAGGGAGAAGGCCTCCTTAAATTCAGAGATCTGCTCGTTTGAGAGTTGGTCTGCCATTTGTATTGCTTTTAGTAGGAGGTTAGTTTGTAAGGTTTCGGTTTTGGTTGGTCTTGCTGTTGATTACGAGATAATGATGACACGCACTTGTGTATTTGCTTATCTGTTTTTTTCTTTTTATTTACATATCCGTACACGTAGAATAGATAATACGGAAGGGATATGAAGAAGGAGATCGATAAGGGGAGAAGAAAGGAAGAGGAGATAGGTGTAAAAATGTATTAGAAATATGGCAATGTGAGAAATAATAAAGAAATCAAAGGGGAGGAGGGATAAATATAAACTGTGGAGAGCAAACATGTCTCATACCTCTATATACACAGAGGAAGAAGGAGAAAGAAATAATTGCAAATACAAAACGAAGCAATTACCAAAAGTGATCGCCAAACCACAGGGGTGATGATCTGCAGAATATGGGAAAAAAAAAAAAAAAACCGTGTGAAGAGCCGTTCTTACAGAGTCATAGGATAATATAACAAAGAAATTTCCCGAAAATGTAAACATTGCACGCAAAAAAAAAAGGAGAAAAGGAAAGAAAGAAAGAAAGACTACTCATGAACAACTGTGTTGCCCTCTTTCTTCTCACTTCACCAATTTAGCGTTAAGTCGCTTTAAGTTTCCCCGAAGTTGCTCCATCACATCATTTACATCCAACGACCGTACTGCCTGCACCTCCGATGCGTTCTCAGCATTAGCCGTTAGGGATATAAATTGTGCTTGCAGTCCACCCGCCACTTGTCCCTTCTTCGCCGTACCGCAGAAGAGTTCCGTGCGGTATTTGTAGGCAGTCGCACAGCAACTCATTGGGGCACACATCGGCACAACGTAGTCAATGTGATCTGTTGGCTGCGGCCGTGCTGTGAAGTGTCCCCATTCACGTCGAAACTCTGCATTGTTGGCAGCACGTAAGGCTTCCACAGCCTCTGCAGAGGCACGAGAATCTGGTTGGTTTTTATCTTTTTTCTGTTTTTGGTGCTGTTGTTTCTGTTCTTCTTCTTTTTGTTCTTTTTCTTCTTCTTGCTCTTGTTCCTCCCTTTCTTCTCCTTTTCCCTCTATGGATGCATTGCTTCCAGGTGAAGAAGAGTGTTCTTCATGTTCTTCATGATCATCATCATTTTCATGATCTGATTCTGATGCTACCTTTTCCGTTTGTTTCTTCTTCTTTTCTCCTTTATTCTTCTCATGTTTGGTGGTTTCTGCAGGGAGAGGAGGAGGTTGTTGAGGGTCATGGTGTTTTTCCTTATTTCGCTCCAGTGCTAATAATTCCAATTGAATCTTTGAAAGTTTATTGCCATTAAGGAAAGCACCACGCAGACGGTCTTCATCATCTTGATCCTTGTACTTTTCCTGAATCTTTTTAAGTTTCTTCCGCTGATATTTTGTTCGTTGCTGATTATTATTAGTTGATGATACAGTAGTAACAGTAGCTTCTTCCATTGTTGTTGTTGTTGATGCATTCGTGAAAACCGGTGGGGCCTTCTGATTACCTTTACTAGATGGAGGACCCCCACGTTGTTGTTTTTGTTGATTATGTTGATTATGCTGCGGAGGACGTCGTGGTCCACGGAGTTCCTCCACTGATGGTAATGGGTGTAATGCAGAGGCGGTGTCTGGAGGGAGAAATAATCCACTGTTATCTTGATCCTCTTCTTCTTCATCATCCTTCTTTTCAATATTATTATCATTATCATTATTATTAGTAGTATTAGTATTATTATTGTGTGAAATGAAGTTTGGTAATTCCTGTCCATCTTGTGGGTTAATCGTTCGTGAGGTTACATGAAAGAGAAGACCACAGGCTAATGTGAGGGGTTGTGGTCGTAAGTAATGTTTCTCACCTTCCAATAAATAACAACCACTTGCCGTTCCTCCCACAATCTGAGAGGCATACACCCACCATGCCCCAATACTAAACTTACTCTCCCATGCAGAACTACGACTCACACACCACCCACCAGCCTCATCTAAACTTGTTAAATGAACTGCCCATGTTTGTTGAACTTGTCCATGTGAAGGTTTAGTGGTCTTTGCATTCATCCAAACAGGATCTGCTGGTCGTAGTAAACATGGGAAAGCACCTTCAACATCACAATGTACAAAAATATCTCCAAGTTGCATAACGCGTCGGATGAGAATCTCCGTTGTGGCTACATCTCTTCCTTGAATGACAAGATCACCACAGGAGGTACGAAACCATGCAAACTTTTCCCACCAACAGCGATGTCTTTCTTTTATAATAGCCTTTTTCATTTGTTGTTTTGCCGCTACACGTTCTCCTTTCTTTTCTGCACCTGCTAGTGCTTTTGCAGTGGCAGCAACAGTTTTTTCATGTTTTGCACGATTAGCTTTTTTCTTTGCAAAATAAGTTGTCGCATTAGCGTACGCCGTCTTGCTGAGTTCTACCTCAACAACAAGAGGTATCCTGTTATCTTCCTTTTCTTCATCTTCTTCCTCATCCTCATCCTCATCCTCATCATCCTCTTTATTATCCTTATTATTATTATCTTTTTTACCAGTAGTACTATCGGTATCTTCCTTCTCATGAAGAAGTAAAACAGAGATACTATTACGTTCAAGGAAAAGTTCATGTACCATATAGGCTACTGGATGACCTTCCGCATGACGTTGTTTAAGTAATCGACGTAATGCATCCCATTGAATTCCAGCAGCAAGTGCACCATTTATAAGTCCAATAGCCTCATCTACTTTATCCGCATTGTGAATAATACACTCACCTTTACGTTGATTTTCTTCTTCTTGACGCTCTAATGCATTAATACGACGTTGATGATCACGTTCAAACCTTTCCCGCTTTGAAAGTACAGTGGTTGTCTTTTTCTCATTATGTTGATCAATCTTCTCAGTCTCTGTAGAGAGAAAGAAGGTATCACATACATTACCAAAACTTGGTAAAAAGGATGTCACAACTCCATCTCCACGGTATTGTGCTAATAACACAGGACTAAAGTCATCATAGTGTGCAGCCTGCACAGACATTGAACCTCCAGTCGTGGCATCTATCATCGTATTAGTAGAATTTGGCTCTTCTTTCTGTTTTTCTGCTTCTTCTTCTTCTTGTTTCTGTTGAATATCCGATTTACCTTTACGATCTTTTTTCTGTTTAATATTACGAATCAAGTATCCACCTGGTGGGAGAGCGGAATAGGCAATTTCCCAAGCCTCCAACATCCCAGGTAATAATTGTGTAAACAGTTCCTCTCCACTACAAGTCATATCTCCCTTCTTTACATTCTTTACACCTGTTACCGCTAAGATGTGATCTGCAAGGGAGGGACCAAAGTGATGTACAGCAGAAAGTGTAGATCGTGTAGTTTCATAATCTGCATGTCGTGTAAATACACTATTCCACTCTTGCCGTAGTGCCTCTGTACGTTGGGCTTTCACTATCATCATATCACTACAGTTTGCTTCCCGTTCCTTCTGTTCCTTTGCCTGTTGTTCATCAAAGGCACTCGTTACGGGATACAACTCCCGTACACACATCTTAATATCATCATCTCTGTGTGTACGTAGAAGTAACATGATACGATATTCATGATCTGTAAGTATAATATTACCCTTTGAAAACAATTCAATAATAATATGATAAGAGGCATCTTCTGAAACCCCAAAGCGGAAATCCACTGTACGATCGTGTTGGAGTTGTGTTACCGAATCCAGACGCCAGGCACGTACATGTTTACGGAGTTTAAGTGTAAATTGAGAGGGGACTTTTGGTTTTTCACGTACTAATTGAGTGAGGTGCATACGTACACCCGTTTCTAGTATCATTGTTTTTTTATTCTCACCATGTCCAAACTTAAAGAGAAACATTTTTGGGGAAATATCATATATATTCAATAGACGAAGTCCAACAAGTGATGATCGCATCTCCTCTACAGAGGCCCGCACATCCAGTGCGGTCATACGCTGTTTTACCATTTTGTTTTTCTTTTTTTTTCTTGTGTATTAAATCTTTCCTGAACTGTTCTCTCTTTTTTCTTTGTTTCTTTCCTTCTTCAATTGTTTAGGATAATCCGTAGGTATATATATATATATTCCCTTTTTTTTTTTTTAATTATCTGCAACTATAATTCCCTCTGAGCTTTGGTGTGTATATATTTAATATTCGTATCGTATGCGTTCCTTTTTTTTCTCTTCAACTGCCTCAGCTGTAATGATCCAGTATAGAGAACTGAGCAAGAAAAAAAGCAAAAAGAGAGTACACAATTCTCAATCAATAAATAAATAAAATAAAATAAAATATTCTTGATGAAATATACAATATAATATCCTCTCTAACAGTAAAAAGGCGGTCGTTAAACATGAAGAAAGAACCATATTAGTTAAAAAAGTATCCATTACACATCACAGACAACGCAACAAGGAAAAGCAATGATTTAAATACCCAATGTCATTCTTTCCCCCATCAAAAACTTTATCTCGTATTTTTTCTCACCAAAACCCTCTACACACACACAGAGACAGATATATATATATATAAATATATATAAATATATATATATAGAAACATCCCCCAACCCTCACCTACCCACTATCCATCAATTCCCCTTTTTTCCCCTTCCCTCCTTTCGTTTTTTTTTTTTCAGACATTCATCTCAAACCTTATTGTGAACGTCTTCCTGACTTACTTTTTTTCTTCTTCACCAATCCTTCTCTTGCTGATGCTGCTCTTACTGTTGCTGCTGATGTTATCGGTGTTGTTGCTGCAGTTACTGTTGTTATTGGTGTTGTTGCTGTTGTTGTTATTGTTTTCCCATTCACAGGCCACACCTTCTCCAATTTCTCCATAATGCCATTCACATCCTCTTCTGTCATTCCAACTCCACATGCCATAACAAGCATTGCACATGGTGGTGTCTCATCTGTGTGCATACCGTAATTTCTGAATACATGTCCACACAAACGCGTCTCGAAAGGATCTGGCACTACAACTCTTGGTCCAGTTACGGCACTGCGAAAGAGACGTGCACCAATTTCTTTTGCCGCCTCCACACCTCCCACCGTACGCATTGTAATAGCGAAACTAATATCATTACGAGGCAATACTGTTGTTACCGGAGTTGTATCTGTCGTTATAGTATTAATAAGAATACTATTAGTAGTAGTAGTAGTTGTTGTTGTAGTAGCAGCAGCAGCAATAGTACTATTATTAGTAGCAGCAATAGTACTATTAGTAGTAGTAGCATTAGCAACCTTATTGATATTACATGTATCCCCCATTTCTTCCGTGAGGAGTACCTCCCCTCTCGCGTGGGCAAACTTCTGCAATGCCGCTCCCAACACCTCCCGAAGTTGATAACGTCTTTTCCACATTTGTTGAAATCCGCTTCGACCAAGACTTAATGCGGTAATAAAGATATCCACAACCGGGGACGCACTCGCACGACCAGCGTAAAGAGCCGCTGCACGTGCCACCACTTCTTTCTTACCGCTAAGGACAGCACCACCAACAGGAACCAAAAAGTTTTTATCACCGGACTGCACGATTGCATCTACACGGCCAAGTCTTATCGCGGCATCTATTCTCTGCATAATTCCTCGACTCTGTACACCGTAGGCGTTGTTCACAACGTGAGGAACATCGAGTACTTTACAAAGTCGAGCAATCGCCACCACATCATCTGGAAGACGCGGGGCAAAACAACTGGTGGTGGTTAACACACAAATAACAGAACGGGGTCCACCAATTCGACCAATAGCCGCGGCAATATCATCCACATGTGATTGAAGAAAATAAGGGTGAAGAGATCGAGTATTGTTTCTTCCTTCACTGTATGAACGATTGTTTCTATTTCTATTTCTCCCGTTACGACCAGCTTTCTGTAAAGGGGCATGTCGCAATGATACCGGTATTGAAAGTAGTCCCGCTGCCTCAATACACTTCAGTGCCGTTTTTTGGTCTATGCGTGTCCAAATAACATACCGCGGCTCCAACACCTGCGAATTATTACTCTTAATCTCCTCTTTCTCCTCCTCCTTATCATCATCATCATCATCATCATTTCCATCTTCATCATTTTCATTCACACCATTTTCAAGACCATTTTGACTCCAACAGGTACTACTACTTTCCTCTTCCATATTATCCATATCCGTAGACTCTTCCTCTAGGCGAGAAGAACGTCTATTTGGTACTCCTCTCTGTACAGTCGCTTGTCTGTGCTGTGCAATACTACGCAGTAATAGTGCGAGTGTCATTCCTGTTGCCATGGGCACCACTACTGCCTGTTCTAACGATGGAGTACCTGCGAGCCGCAGCAAATCTAATATCATGTGATTTGTTATTTGGTATAATAAACTTGACCCCGCCGCCTTTGGCTGATCACGCGTGACATCACCCGATCTGCCTATTCCGTGTGAGAATCCATAATGCCGTCTCGCTACCAGCGCCGCAGCCACACGGCCTTCACGCTCGCCAGCGCCGATGTGAGCAGCGAAGTTATTTGTATCCATCATGGCAAGTTCGTGCAGCAGCAACTCAATGGCAATATCACCCATTCCGCGTTCTGGGCAGCGGCGTTGGGCTAAAATAGAGTGAACAACATTACGAGTGGCATGTAAGGCCTCCGCACCAGCGCGGATATAAGGAGCCGTAACGAGTGTCTCCGCCAGTGAAAGTGATCGGCCGTCCATTTGACTATAGGTAGATAGAAAGA